TCAAAGTCACCATCTTCTGCCCTTTGGGAAAGTTTTTATTTTCAAACAATTTACTTAAACCAATTAGTTTGGTTTAAATATTGAGGTTTATATTTAAAGTAATTAAACTATACCCAACTCGTTGACCTTTTTATTTTTCCACTGTGCATGCTTATGTATGTATACCTTTAGGGCTGCCAACCCCATGTACCAAACTTTTTATAAATGATATTATTACAATTTTAATCAAGATTCTAAACTAAGTTTCTTAAATAGATTATTTTTCAAAAACGTATATTAAATTTTACTTTAATAGCAAGCTGTTTGTAAAGATATTTTTAAGAAACTCGTATTTTTATATTGTTGACTTCGAATTTGTTTAGTTCTATTTGTATCATCCTATTTAATACAACAATATATTATTAAATAAAACTAAACAAATTCTATCTAAAATTGTTTTAAGTCTGAAGGTTGTCCCTGATCAAGAAGAAGAGAAAAGAAAGTTGAGGGTTAGAAGAAGGAAATGAATGTGGATGTTGAGAGGAAACGCGAGAAAGGGAGGAGAAGGTTTTGTTTGTGAGGTTTTACCGTCCATGATTTTACTTTACAAGAACTTTTTTTTTTCTACAACAATTTCTTTTTCTAAAATTAAAAAAATAAATGAGTGCACCATATGTAAGTTTCTAACAGTTGCATATTAATTGCTCAAGTTTTTATGAATACATATTATATTTATAATAAAATTAACTTTCTAATGTTTATAACATACAAATTAAAGTACATTTTAATTCTCACTTTTATGTTTTATAATCCAATATACAATTCTAACAATATTGTTTTGGTTTATAGGGTTAAGGTTAAGACTATTCTATAGAATTATCTTTAACTTTTAAGCTTAGGTAAGATTTTTTTCTTAATCGTCTCCTTAAGTAGTTCAATCAAGCACTCTGATGTCAAAATTAGTGTTTGTCTGAAGGTTTGTAGTAATAAATGCGTAATAAAGTAACTAATTACCTTGATATCAAACTTGTATTTATAGAAATTGGGATAAATTTCTGATTAATATTGGCCTAATCACAATCGAAAAAGTAATGACTTGATTTAGAGTTAACATAATAACATGATTTAGGATTAACATAATTATTTTTAATACTAATCTTGTCTTATGTGTGGTACAACTGATTGGTCTATGGACGATTTTGCATTGGATCAAAAAGTCTGTTGATAGTTAATATGTGACTAACTGAAAAGTCACACTGTACAAATACTATATTATATTTAAAACATTACGTTGACATGATTTTTGCGTCATCTATCAAATTTTAAAATATCAAAACTTTCAAAACATGAACAAACAAACTCGTTCTAACTTGTTGCAAACTTGAACATTAAGTTTTGTTTTGTGGCACCCAATTTCTTTTATTTGTTCATTGTATGACACGTATTCTTGGTTTGGCAAAAACCTTGAACAAAGTAAACTTAGACCAAACCAAATGATTGTTTTGATTTTGAAGTTCTTTTCTTCTTTTCAAATTCGACCTAAACCACCTTTTTTTCCGAATGAACTTTCACATATTAATTTTAGTTAAATGAAGGTACAACATGGAACCAAATGGTTGGTGAGCCATTTTACGTTACATGATTTAAAGGAAGAAACGTAGACAAAGGAAGGAGATTTGCTACGTTTAAGGAACATAACATGTTTTTATCTTAAGGGAAGGTTAGATTATTTTATTCTCAATATAGAAGTTGTAATTGAGTGCAAAAGCGCGTTAATAGGGCTAATTTATCACGTCAGTGCACATCAAAAAGGAAAATATATTTTCCATAGGTAAAATATTTTTCATTACTAATTAGCATCTTTTCTTTTTCTTATGTTTCATCATGGAATATGTGAAACCAACCTATGTTTAAATTGAAATTGAAATACTTATAAATTTTTCCATCTTAAATGAGATACATTAAGAAAGAGTTTTCCAAATGGACTATTTGTCCTCTCTTATAGGTAAATCATGTGGATTTGTTGATTCTTTCAATTCAAAATCTGATAAAAAAAATGATACATTAAATCTAATTATTAACTTTTTAACTAATTTGGATATGGTTATTTTAAAGATTAAATTTCTTGAATATGGTTGATTATATATTATATATATAATTTTTTTATATTCACTTGATGTCATTATTCGTTATTTTCTTTTACAAATACAAAAAATTATTTTTTTAATGAGTATTTTACTCTTATCGATCATATATGTATATAATTTTTAAATTGATACGTATTGATGTAATTGACACCACTGCCGTCTTCATAATAAAATGACATTGACACAGCAAACTGTCACTCATCTCATAACACCATCAACGCATCATTGACGATTAATAATAACACAAGCAAAGAAGAAATCAGAGAGTAGAAATGACAGCGAAGAGGGAAATGGAAAATTCTGAAATGGATGAGAGAGAAAGTAGAATTACCATTTTTATTTCAACAAAACTTCAAATATGTGTGGGTCCATTGATTTTTAAAATATTATTATCAGCCACGTCAACAACTTCCAAATGAACATACTGCACTTTCTGGTGTCAACATATCAGGACTTGTAATTTAATTTTCTTTTCTTTTATTATGCTCCTTTTATTTTGTTGGGACGAGTCACTCCACACAATTCACCATTAATTATATTTTTTATTATATTGAAGCTACTATTTCGTAATAGTATTTTTTTTTCACTAGCATGGCGCAATATGCATGGTCAAAAACATCTCACACCATTTAAGGCATATAACGGTAATTTCTCCTTCCTTAGTGATATAAAATTCAAAGCTAAAAATTATAGTTTTCTTTCTAGCACATATCATGATTCGTATTGTGAAATTTTATAGAAGCAAGAGTCCAATTGCAAAGTTAGTCACGTATATAAGCAAATGAAAATTTATTAATGTTGTGATAAGATAAATTGAAATAAATATATCTTTTGGTGGAAATGATAACCAAATTTTATATTATCGTTTGTCGATTTATATGACATATTGAGGATTGTGTGTTTGTGTGTGTATGTGTCTGTGTCTGTGTATGTGTGTGTCTGTGTTTGTGTCTGTGTGTGTTTGTGTATGTGTTTGTGAGTCCGTGCGTGTGTCGATGCTTATGTGTCTATGTGTTTGTATTTGTGTGTTTGTGTATTTGTGAGTTTGTATGTGTGTCGGTGTCTGTGTGATTGTGTGTTTGTGTTTGTATGTATGTGTCTATGTATGTGCGTATGTTTCTGTGTGTGTATGTGTGTTTTTATGTGTGTGTGTGTGTGTGTGTATATGTGTATGTGTTGTATGTGTGTGTGTCTCTGTGTGTATGTGTCTCTGTGTTTGTGTGTGTGTTTGTGTGTGTTTGTATGTTTATGTGTGTCTATGTGTGTTTATGTGTCTATATGTTTGTGTGTGTATGTATATGTGTGTGTCTCTATGTGTGTTTGTATGTCTTTGTGTATTTGTATGTGTGTGTCTATGTGTGTTTGTGTATCTTTGTCTTTGTGTGTGTTTGTGGTTGTGTCTTTGTCTGTGTGTGGCTGTGTCTGTGTCTTTGTCTGTGTGTGTCTGTGTCTGTATCTTTGTTTGTGCGTGTGTGTGTGTTTGTGTTTGTGTCTCTATCTATGTGTGTGTTTGTGTGTATGTGTCAATGTATATGTGTGTCTGTCTATATGTGTGTATGTGTGTTGTGTATGTGTGTGTGCGCGTCTATCTGTGTGTGCGTATGTGTGTGTGTGTGTGTTTGTGTGTGTGTATATGTGTATGTGTGTTTGTGTCTATGTGTTTGTGTGTTTGTGTCTTTGCGTTTGTGAGTGTCTCTATGTGTGTTTTTCTCTCTCTATGTATGTGTGTGTTAGTGTGTTTGTGTATGCCTGTAGTTGTTGTGTGTTTGTGCGTCTATGTGTCTATGTGTTTGTCTGTGTGTGTCTGTGTGACTCTATATTTTTGTGTGTCTATGTATTTGTGTGTCTGTATGTCTCTATATGTCTGTATATGTGTCTGTGTTTGTGTGTGTATGTATGTCTATGTATGTGTACGTGTTGTGTGTGTGTGCTTGTCTTCCAATGTGTGTCTATGTATGTGTGTGTTGTTGTCTATGTGTGTTTATTTGTGTTTGTGTTTGTGTCTGTTTGTGTTTGTGTTTTTGTTTGTGTCTGTGGGTGCGTCTGTGTGTCTATGTGTTTGTGTGTCTGTATGTATGTGTGTCCGTGTTTCTATGTGTTTGTGTGCTTGTGTTCCTGTGTGCCTATGTGTTTGTGTGTTTGTCTTTGTGTTTGTGTGTTTGTCCATGTGTGTGTGTGTGTGTCTATGTGTCTGTGTGTTTGTCTATGTGACTCTGTGTCTATGTGTTTGTATCTCTGTGTGTTTGTGTCTTTGTGTTTGTCTGCCTATATGTATGTGTGTTTGTGTATTTGTGTTTTTATGTGTGTATGTGTGTTTGTGTCTGTTTCTGTTTCTGTGTGTGTGTGTCTATATATTTGTGTGTTTGTGTTTGTATTGGGTGGGTGGGTAGGTGAGTGGAGGTGCATGTATGTGTGAAAATAAACTCTTTGAATTTTTTGTATTATTGCAATGAAAGTTTTATATCTATTAATCACAAAATACTCTTTTCTAAGTGGATGGTGGATGTGATAAGATTCTTTGGATTACTTAGCAAATTATACTTCAAATCTTAAAGATTGGCAGGTTGAAAGCTTATTGATAAAATCTTAGTACAGATTAAGCTTTTTAATGCTTCATATTTCAATTTAAAGCATAACGACCAAATTAAAATCACTAAAATCAATAAAATAACTTTCAATCAGTTGAAAGAGTTTTGTATCAATCTTCCTCAACCAAGTTACACACAATTATTATAAAGAAGCTATACAAGTTTTAGGAGTCAAGTGTCTCATTTTCAATTTCCCAAACATGTAAATCACACACACACACACACACACACACACACACACACACACACATATATATATATATATATATATATATATATATTTTAATTAATTCAAGAACTTCTTGAACCACTCAACAGATTGTTTTGGGTATCTCTTCAAATTGTCTTTGTAATCAATGAAATATAGACCAAATCTAGAAGTGAATCCAGATTGCCACTCCCAATTATCCAGTAGGGACCATACAAAGTAGCCTTTTACATTGCATCCATCTTCTCTGTGAACAATAACAAGATAGTTTTATTAGCTTAATAAACTATGTGGGAACTAAATCATATAAATGCACTTAGATAATTATAAAATACATTACGTACTTAATTGAAGCTAATAGGTTAACTAAATAGTCATTGTGGTACTTAATCCTTTTCTCATCCTTCAAAGCATCTTTGATTGAGATAGATGGGTTATTTGGATCATCCATCCCTATAACAAGTGAGAGAGTGTGAATTAGCTCTATGATAAAAGTGATGAATAAATTAAAAAGATATGATAAGTGATGATTTTTCTCTCTCTAAACTATGGAATATGAAAACGATATAAAACTTGTACTACCATGTATGTTTAATTTTACAAAAAATAATTATATAACAATGTCAATTCAATCCACAAATTAATGAACAAACCTAATAGTGATTATTAAGTGAATTATTTTAATCAACCACGTGTTTAAATTGATGGAACCCGCCAAATTTTGGTGCAAAGTTAATAACTCAATAATTCACACTAAATGGGTTGTGTCGAACAATAAGTCTTCCTGTATTTTGCGTAAGAGCATCGTATTTTATATCTCTTTAATTCATTCATTGTTAGCAATTCTTCAATTTTGAACAAGTTATTGACAAATATTTTGCTCCAATCATTCGTAAGAGTTCATTTATTAGTAATATTTATTGTTGGTGTAGGTTTTTTAGAGAAGTTCCTCCTTCTTTAGTGATTATTGCAATAACATAGTAAGGAAGTCAATCATAGACATTGTGAACATACAAGATGGTTTTACTAGAGTAGTGGTTAAATAAATTAGAGAGGTTTCTACTTTAATCCCTCTACTAGAGGAAACAATACTTTAAACGAGCATTGAATAACCTACACAATTAATTAAGTTTTTTTAAATAATGGTATATATTGTAAATTTCTCTTTATGTATGTGTATTTGCCTTATTTAGATTATTTCATGATGAGTGTTGTCATTATGATGTAGGATCCTATGAGGAGACGAAAGGAAACAATTACTTTTGATATTATCTTTTGGGGCTTAGTCTCATTAAAATGTTAATCTAATACAAGAGTTGGTTAAGGTTTCACATGACTTGTTTCATACATCTTATGATATACTTTGAGATGGAATAATCTTTGACATCGATAATAGCAATGCACCATTGTAAAAATCATGAAAGATATTTGTGAAATCATCTACCATAACATGATGTTGAACATTGCAATTCTACAACTATGAATGATGTACGTAAGCTATTATTTATTTAACTATGTTTGATAAAATGATAATTGTGATTGATATTTATGTTAATAATGTGGTATATAAATCAAGTAATTCTAAACATAAAGAATATTGATTTTTATGGCTTCCTTAAGCTAGCTATAAAAGTATCAGAATAAAAAGATTAATGTTAAACTTAAATTTAGTGTGGATTCAAGAATTTGGAAAGAAGATTTACATCACCCCTTCTATACATGTTAGTACAACTCACTCATTATAAATGTTACATTGTTAATATAATATCATTGATCAACATTTTTAATTTAAGTATCATTGACAACTAATGATTATTTGTTCGATCATCAATATTATTTTGTAGTTTTGTTCATTAGATAAAAAATTCAAATGAAAACATGAAATTTGTAGTACATATGTATGTTTTAACTACAAAATAATGTGTTTTTAGAGGAAATTAATAATAAATTTATTTTTGGTATTATTATTGTATATGTCTTAAGTGATAAATTTGTTTGATCATCACATAATTTATATTGGATTTATCCTTAGATATTTGTTTCTTCATTGAAACTATAATAATCATGTTTATCAGTTTTCTATGAATTAACTTAGTTAAATTTCATATCTTGGCAGTAAGAGTAACTAAATTTTTTTTAGTGTAACTGAACCATGGTCCACGTAAATAAGGGATATTCTTACAAATAAATAATATAACACTTCCACCCTTCTAAAATGTACTACATTTATCATTTCAAATATTCTTTTATAAAAGAAAATTAAAATTTATCATATATTTTTTTAACATTATGTCAACAAAGAATAATTGGACATAGGCAATTGAAGAAATTTGTCATGAGTGGACAAAATATTGCTTACATATTAAAAATTAATATTTACTATAATTTGATTTTAAGATTATGTGTGATATTTAATCTTTAGTTTTGATTAGTATCTAGGTTTGGTTTATATTAATAGTTACTATTAGTTTAGATTAATTGTTATTATTAGTATTCATGGTTAGTTTAGTTTTGATTTAGTCTCTACATTTAGATGTTAGAATTGAGGAAAATTTATTTTTTAATTGATATTGTAATTTAAACTAATATGTTACAAGAACCTTTCTATGTCATTAATAACTTAAATTGATATAATATGGAATCATTTTACGTAATCAATTGAATGTTCATTTTCAAAACATTTTCATATTGTCTTTTAACAACAAGGAAAATAATCTATAGTTTTAAGATGGGTTAAATATGTTTTTAGTCCCTAAACTATTGACCGTTTCTGGTTTTCGTCCCTCTTCCAAAGTAAGGTACAATTTAGTCCTCAATCTTTAAAAAACGTTCGTTTTAGTCGAAAAAACGAACGTTTTGAGGACTAAAACGAGGACTAAAAACAAAATTTTGAGGACTAAAACGAACGTTTTTCTAAAGAATGAGGACCAAATTGTACCTTACTTTGGAAGAGGGACGAAAACCAGAAACGGCCAATAGTTTAGGGACTAAAAACATATTTAACCCTT